GAGATGACACATGCTGTGAATAGGTGCTATATAAGTAAAATAGAACTGAACTGAATTGAACCTGAAACACATTGCCCAGTCTTAGATACTGCAGGCTCGTCTAATGTGAAAGCTGCAGACCACCTCTCATCACCAGTAATAATCCTCCACATGAAGGTTGGCTATCTGAATGACACAGAAATTGACGTTTTCTTCTCAGCATGTGAATGGATGAATACCAGCGGTCATGGAAACAGCACAGGTCCAGCTGTTGATAGCATGGTGTCACACAGTCTTGAGACTTGTGACAGTTACTGCTCACATGTTGCACACACACGACTGTGACGCAGATCACACACGTGCATCCTGAACCTTTTTGATCGCACGTTGTGTGACTGTACCACAAGAAATGGACGGTGGTGGGAGAAGTGTTAAGCAAAGTAGCAATACCGCAGCATAAAAACACTCTATTACAGTGGGAAAAAAAAACTTTAAAGAGCTAAAATTAAGTGTTTTTTATTAAGATAAAATCAAACGACTGCGTGTCCACTAAAAGCTGTGCATATAATTACAAACTCACATTCAGAAAATGATCACCAAACTCCCCTCACTGTCTATTCACTCATTATTTTTGGTTTTCTGTCCTTAAACTTTAATGCTTTTGTTCACTCTCGCCCACTCTCAGAGTGTTTTGGCAAGAATCAAGCTGCAATTTTCAGCGAAGAGGGTACAAAAAATTGATAAACAGCATAAGTTTTGCACTACAGTAAATGCAGCTTGTTACATATGAACACAAGTTAATGACTGAGGTGGCCCCTTTCTCTCCTGAACATCGACGCTAACTCACCTCATCAATTCATCTCAATCCAGCAACACATTACCGTACATCCTGCTTAATTGTTAATTAACCCAGTTTAACACCAGCCACCAGAGCGATCTCCCCCTAAACTAACATTAATACAATATCTGTGTGAGACGTATGGAAAAGGTCATTCAAAGTCAGCTCAGGTTCCAGGCTTCAATTATGTGTAGATATTTACACTCTCAATCACATCTGACAGCTGCTTCTCAATCTTCCCTCCGTTTAAAGCCAAGCACTTAAAAAGCCAGTAATTGGTCTGCCGTTATTCTTACACATCTTAAAACTGACTTTGTGCTTAATCTCACTGCAGCAGTTCTGCCCAAAAGAGTGAGCGAGACCGTCTGGAGTTTGTACGATGGTGAAAGGATCTGTTTGCTGACACTACAGTCTGCAGGACAGATGGTTCACGCCGCTAACATATTTGTTGTTTTGTTTTGTAGATGCGAGCACATGTCAACTCCAAATGGTTCCTTTTCAAAAAATATGTTGATAACCTCCTCCACTTCCTCATGCCAAGGACAATAGTTCCACTTTACACAATGGTACGTGTGTCTCTAATAAACAATGATTGCACTCACGTCACCCTTTTGTTCCTATTACCATAAAATCTCTCTTGTTTGTTCTCCTTCACTGTCTCTAGGTCACCTTCACAAGGACTAGATACCATGAAGCTGTGGAGCGCTGGCACTGGCAAAACAAAGTAATACACTTGGAGAAAAAGTGTTTGTTTTTTTTATTTTCCTCAGGCTCTTTCATTTTTTCCTGAATACAATTTACTTTTTGAGGGATTTTTCATACCTTTGAACATCTGAGTATTGTAATTTGGGACTCTTTTGAAGTCGCAGTATTATCATCGCCGCTCACGAATGGCGTATGCGACTCTCGCTGGGTAAACAATTCCCCCTTTTGAGAAACATTTGATTAATTCTACCACAAACACACAGCTCTGAGGAGAGGAGAAATGTTTTCTGATTTCTCACGTCGGGATGGAGATAAGCCAGTTAGTCCTTGGCTCTGTGTGGAAGTGTCTGTGGTGATGGCTTCAGCGCTAATGGTCAGAGGGTCAGTGGGGATTTTCAGAGCCTCCCTTGTAAATTGTTTAAACCCGTAGGGATGTGTAGGCAAAGGGCGAAATGACCTTTATAGGGGGGAGAAAAATGACTGTACGAAGCTGCAGATGAAATAGTACAATGTGACTGTTATTAAAATAATAATACAGTGAGATAGAAAAACAGCGACCTGAGCCGGAGAGGGCAGGATGACCTGTGTCTCTGCCGAGTGTATAGAGGATGTTTTAAGGGGAAGACAACAGCAATGAACCAGATTACAGGAAGAGTACACAAATATGTGTGCTATATATTATATCAAACATTTTAAAACACCCCAGAGCCACATAATTGAACTCAGACTGATATATCTCCACAGCTATACCTTGGATTGCCTTTAAATTTAGTTCATGATCCCTCAGAGAATGAATTCCACTGATGTTGGTGAAGCAGCATATTCCATTGACAAATGTGAGCAACGTAATGAGCATAATACCTGCTATGCATCAGCATATTGTCACTGTGAGAGCCGTAGTTTGCTGGTATTTAAATGAAAAGTGCGGCCTCATAGAGCTGCTGTCACGGCTGTACAATTTGTTTTCTGAATGCGATGTGGAAATGAATCTCTGAAAATGATCTCATGGTAGAAACCCATTTGTTTTTGATTGCTCTGCTCCGTTAAAGCTGCAGTAGGCAGAAACCTGGAAAAGGCAAAAAAACAACAAATAAACAAACAAACAAAAGTCAAGATAAACTTGGCATGCAACACCCTTCCCACCGTTTCGATTTCTGTCATTTTGATGCTGCTTAAAAGGATCTCATATGTGAAACGAAACCTCAACCCCCTCCTTTATGAAAAAAAAAATCATAGTTAAAGTTAAAGATGCATATACAGTCCCCATCCTGCAGCTCTTTCAGTGCCCCTCTTTGTTCAAAGCCCCTCCCGCCAGACAAGGACGTGTTTCAAACGTGCAAAGACAGTCAAGCTAAAAGTCAACATTCATTTTCAGCTTCACCCAGGATTCAAACCCCAATTTACACTCCTGAAAATCTTCTATTTAACCCATTGCACCGCCTCATCCTGCTCTCTCCGTGGACTGTGTTGCTCTTTTTTACTATCTCAGCTGCTCTGGATGATAAGACCTGTGATTGGCTGAAATCTTCCCATCACAGGCTAGATTTTCTAAAGCCTGAAAGCAGAGCCAGGAGGTGGCGCAGAACTCTAGATTCCTCTCAGGCCACTTAAATTACAATAGACTGAAAGGCTAGTGTGGATTATTTCCTCAATGACACTAAAGTAAATAAATAAATACTGCCTACGCCGGCTTTAACTCCCATCATCTCTTCTATCATGTTGTGACGTAATTATTTGAGAAATTATTTTGTTTTGCATTAGTGGCAGTTGTTGATCTCTTCTTTCACAGATCTTAGACATGGTGTGTTTTATTTATATATTTATTTTTTAATGGTTTGTGCACAATTATTTACACATTATAGTTGATATAGGTTACAACAGCTGTCAACTGGAAGCCACATTGCTTCCATTTACTTAGAAATAGCACCAAAACCTATAACCTTCATACAACAACATGTCAGTTTCTTTCATTAGAATTATCTGAAACCTACGAGACCTATAGAAAGAAGTAGTATGTAAGATTCAAGTATTAAAGCATGGGTGTTTTCTGTGCAGTTGTTACTCCTTTTGAGAGACTAAGTCCAAATGGAAATGAGCAAACCCCTTGTGTGACAGTGTGAGGAAAAAAAAGCAAGCGTGTGAATAGAACTGGCAAAACCAAATCCGTGGCAATAAGCGTTTTATGCGTCTCTTCACAGGTGATAAACCGCGGCCTGCTGTTCAGTGCTGCAGGAGCTGTTTTGGGAGGTTCCTACATGCTCATTAAAAACCCTCCTGATATCAACAAGCTCGTCACCCCCGCTGAGAAAATGTGGGACAGGCTCGTGGCCCTCAGGACCCCCTGAGCAGCGGCACCACCACCTGAGCTGACAGACAGGCGCAAGGGCTGGAGTGCTAAACGCCGGAGTGAACATGAGGGTGGTGCGAATGGTAATTAGGTTTTGATTGAATCGTTTAATTCACAATGAAAGCTCTGGCAGGCAAATTAATGTTGTGTAATAATGACTGTCTGAACATAAAGCAGCGATAAAGATTGATAACGAGGTTTAATAACATCTCAGAAGTGTTCAGCTGATAAAGGTTTGACTGTAGGAGCCCAACGGTGGAGTTTTGTAGCCTTTTGAATGTTACCGTGAAAAGAAAACGTCAGTGTTATGCTCACAGAGTCACGTGTATTTGAGTTTACATAGCTTCTTTAACTCAAGAATATCAAATAAAAGTTACCTCAGCTCATAGTTACTGTCAGTGTTTTTCTGTTTTGGTTCCGTTCCTCTTAACTACACTGACTTAATGCAAAATTGGGTATTTATTTATTTTTAATATGTTTTTTTTGGCCTTATCAATTGTATTAGCTGATGTATTTATGTATTTATACGTCCTTACTTTTGACAAATCGAGTCAAATTTTCACTTCGTGTTACCTCTGTGTTTGATATATTCCTGAGGTAAGTATTCATCTATTTAGCTTTAAAATGCTCCACCAACTACCTGCTGACCGTGTCCGTCTGTTGTTGGTTGCTAGCGAGGTACCATGTCGGTAATATGAGTCCAATTTCTGTGTGTGAGGACAGACGTCGGCCAGGTTTGTCCCTCTTTTTCCAGTGTTTATACTCAGATAAGCTAGCCGTCTGCTGCAGTTTCATGTTTAAAATACAGATGTATGCGTGGTGTCACTCTTCAACGTCCAACGATAAAAAGACCAACAAAAAAAACAAAATAAAAGCCCATCACTCACTCCCACATCCCCAGTGGAAAAGGTTTTTATCAGCTGGGGAAATCCATTCATCAAGTCTATTCATAGCTGACAGGATATGAAAGGTGTGTCTCACTGGTGCATACTGGGCCCCAGTCTCATCTCCTCTTATCTAATTACACTCCCATAGTCCTCGTACACATAATTTCACCAAATGTCATTTCACAGTGACTGCCCTCGTCACACTGAATATTTAGATTGAAATGAGATAAGGTACACAACGTGGGTAGCTTAAAATAGGATCTCTTTATTGAATCCATACACAGTAATGTCAGTTTGAGGATTATGGTTCATGGCTAAGAAACTAAGGCTTATTTTTCCATTTTTCACACTTGCAGTTGGGTACCAACCAAAACAAATCTGCTATCAACATGTCGATCCAAACTGGGGTCCGTACCTGGCCTTTAAATACTCAACACAGTCCTACAGTTGTCACATATACTGTATGGCATATTTGACAAATAAGTGTGAGGAACATAGAACTACTTGTTAACTACATCATTAAGTACTTATATCACCACAGCTGATGTTAGGCGAGGATGTCACACTTTCATACTACTCAAATAGGTTTAGTTGAGATCTCGGGCTGACAGTTGGATATTTACATTAAGCTGTAACAAGTCTGTAACTGCGTGCGGACACAGAAACATCCAGGGAGGTCAGACAGGAATTATTTTGGCTTGGAACTGCATGTTAGGTCCTAAGGCATACTGAGTGGTTGGGGGGGTGAGAAGTCCAGTCCATGTGGATCACAACGGCTTCACTTGGATGACATTGACCTGCGTGGAATCTCCAGCCTTGGAGGATACGTCCAGGTGGCGGAAGTCATCGCTGGTGATGATGAAGACGATGGACGAGGAACAAAAGGTCACCCTCTTTTTGGGCCGGTCCTTGCTGCCGCATGCGCTGGACACCACGATGGGACGGATGGGGCGCTCGACCGGAGCCAGGGGGCGCTCTTTGAGGTTGCGCTGCAGCCAGGAGAGCCGCGAACAGAGCAGCTGCAGCAGACAGCGGCGGAACTGTGGGAGGATGAGTAGGAGGAGAGGCAGAGGAGAAAGATAAGAGGATGGTATTTAACACTGGGGTCAAATAGTACCCTTTCCTCACTCATTTGTCCGTCAAACGCACAAGATATCAGCTTCTAAGCCAACAAACTATGTGACAATTTCACTCCTACAAACACCACGAATACATTCTGCACATAATAAAGCTTGGAAAAATGGGACTTGCTGGAACATACAAACATCCTATAAAAAAATGTAACCGTGTGAAATCGAATTCTGTACAATTTTGTGTGAAAATGCTGTGAAATATTTCATCAACTGAAGCAGCACAAAAGGAACACAAATCCTCTCCCCTAATTGAGATGCCATTGATTCGCCCTGTTTGTCCATATTAAATTCTGGCTTCAGATTTGGTCACTGGAGGGGGAAAAAAATCGACTGAACACACAGAAAGTGGCTATTCACAGCTCTCTAGTGAAACATATAACGTATTCCAGACGACACCCTGAGCAGCAGGGATGGCTGAACCCAACACCACCAGCTACACACAGCAGGAAAGTCCTGGAGACAAACACATCAGCTGTACATGCTGAAGCTGGAGTAGGCGTCGCAGGGCAAAAATGTCAGAATGACCTTTCGGCAGATTGTATTTCAAGTCGTTTCAAGCCACCTATTGGCTCTGTTATCAGACTTGAGCCTGTGACAGGAGACAACTACACAAATGCAGATGCCCTTGCCCGTCCCTTCAGATTAGGGGTGCAACAGATCCCAAAGCTCACGGTTCGGATCACGGCTTTTGAGTCACAGATGTAATTTTTCACGTGACAACACAGCTGCTTTGTATGTTGTCACTGAAACTCTTCATTGAGATTTAGGGCATTAATCCTTGCTGTTTGCTTGACTGTCTGGTTGTCTGTAAACAGGATTATGCGAAAACAACCAGGCACAGATCCAGACCACTTGTTTTTTTATTTTTATTCTTAATTGAGAAAAATCATCGGCCTTGGGGGAGGACTGAGTGATCGTCTAGTTACGTTAAAAAGTAAGTACAGCAGCAAAACTCTATTTCACTCGGTGATGTTTAAACTTTGCAAATAATGCTTTTTGCAGATCCACCACAGTCCGTGACACCACAACCTAATTTGGTGAAAAACCTGATTCACTGGTGGAATCTTGCAGAAAAACTTGCTATTCCAGCGCTGGCAAGAACTGTCTACACTGCCAAGCAACCAAACAGAAAGGAAGACAGACTTATCAAAACGAGAGCCTCAGAGAGAGTCACTGGATACTAAACAAGAAAACACACATTAGTATAGATGGAGTTTACCGATGAAACTGGAGTTATGTCAAATATCAAATGGCAGAATTTAAAAATCCTGCCTCTCCCCTCTCTTAGTTAGTTTCCCTTTCTTACATTTCTGCCCACCACAGCATTTCAAAACCTTATGATTACAAACCTTTCTGCTCATGAACACGTAGATGAGAGGGTTGTACGCTGTGCTGGACTTGGCGAAGAATGAGGGGATGATGGCCACTGTGGGCGACACCATGCTCTTCCTGCCAAAGGCCTCCATCATGGACACGACAGCGTAGGGCGTCCAACACACCAGGAAGCAGGATATCATCAGGAGAAACATGACGGCCACCTTCTTCTCGTACCGCAAGATCTTGATGATCTGAACCGTCTGGAGGTCTTGGATGGAGCGGAGCTGCAAGAAACAGGGGAGAGGAAGACGCCATCATGAGGGGGACACTAGACTATGACGTAAACACACTTGTGGCCAGAAGGTTGCTGGAGGCTTATGGTCACAGCAGATTTCCCGAAGTGTCTTAATCTGATGCCACGATGATGCTTGTGTTTAATCTGATGTTTTAATGTCATTCCAAAATAATCGTTTAGTATTTTTCAGGTATGACTGGATCCCAACCTTTGAAGCCATGTCTTGTCTTTGTGTAATGCCTCCTCCATGAGAAATGAATCCTTTAATTACCCTTAAAAAGGTCAAACTCTGCAGTATTTCAGAGGTAACTCAAGTTCAAAGACTAAAAATTGCTAATTTAGTTTTAGCTTTTGTTAAATATGGACGCCAAGAAAGACAAAGAACGACAGCAGAAGTGAAATTCCTGAGCACAGAAGTCACACAGCATTGCTTTAAATCATTAACAAAAGCAGCTTTAACAAACGGAGGCGACGCTCTGTCGTTTCCATAAGCTTGTGTAACGCCGTCGGCCAACACCGGCCCGGTGTGATTAACCTTCTCGAGAGCTTTTGTGTGACCAGAATGTGCGGCCCCTATTACATGCTTGGCCCCTGATGCTGAGATGCTGCACAACGACTGCCATTACCAAGATCGAGATTGGACGGACGCCCGGCCCTGCTCTCCAATCAAATCAAATCAGTTTCGGTTGTCATTTAGGAAGGCTGTGATTTGGAGGGAGCATCTTGCCTTTGTGTCTCTTGTTGACCTGTTTGTTTGGTCATTTCAGCAGTTTTGTAGCAGCATGTACACAATCATCTCAGAAGCAGCAACACTGCTGCAAATATGTTGTTAATTAGTCTTTGATAGGAAGTTAATCCATTTTATATTTTTGTTTTCTTTATACATACAGATTAGTATGTTGCTTAAAGGAAAAAATGTTCTTTTCTGGTTTAATTGCATTTTTAAATAAGCAGATCAGCCTCCTCTCCTTTGTGATTGACCTTTTTGTTGTTATTTATGAAGCTTAGACGATCAATCCTGCGAGAAACAACTTTATTTGCTTAAATCAACCTGCTTTCATGTTGCTTCTCTTTCCCCTTGTGAGCCGGGTCATAACACCGCGGTAATGGCTGACAGCTTGTGGAAACAACAAGGTAATGCCTCAACAACAGACGGGGTGAGTGACACTGTAGATTGGATATACCCTTCAGCTAAAGCAACGAGATGATAAAGAATGCGGCTATTTTCTCGGCTCCCTCAAGACAGAACGCGGCCGCTGATTGAATCACTGAAAGCTTCTATTTTTATTCATGAATTCACAAGGCCTGTTTTCTTTAATGTATGCTTCTATTTCTTATGAATGTATTTTCCTGTGCATGTTCCATTGTTCTCCGGGTCTTCAGATATCTGCAATTTATGTTTCTGGCAAACTGTTCTTGTATGACACCAAAAATATTCTGTAGGTTTCAGAGTGCTAACTCTTTGAAGATTTTTCCAGAGATGCTGCGATGTGTGATGAGCTCTCCCGGGCCTCTGAGGTGTTCGGGGAGTTTTGTGGTGCTCTGAGGAAGTAGCAGCTCACACTTCCTGCAATGTTGTGCATATTTAAGGACGGGAATTGTGATGCAGACAGACATCGGAGTCATTTCGTATGAATTACTGTTTTTTTTCTCATTTACACATTTGCTTACATGCAGTCCTCTTCCAAGACTGCAGCCACCATCTGCTTGATGATACAAACAGATTCCCTCATTTCCAGCCCAGACAGAAAAAGATCTCCAATGTTGTCACTGGAATCGTTAACATGAACATAAGTGCTCAACTCTCATCCCCACAGCCTGCTCACTTGTCCTTTATCACCATCAGCGACACTTTAAGGCTGCACTTCTAAAGCTCAGCACTGGCACAAGAAACAAGGTGCTTCCGGATAATTTCCACTGTACAGGACGAGCCCTGGAGGCACAGAGGAATATTATGATAATAGAGCCTGTAATGAAAGAAAAGTCAAAGGCAGCACTTGGCCAGTTGAGGTCAAGGAGTTTCATTAAAATGAAAACCCAGAAGGGTCTGTATTTCTCCAGACTGTGGCTGAAAGTAATACTATAACAGCGTCTCTATAGTCATACTTACCCTACATCATCTGAAACAGTTGAAACGCTGTGTGAGCTGAAGTAATGAATGGAAACGCTGACAGAAGTTGAAGTGGCAGTTAAAGTCATAGACTGTATATAAAGGATAGCCTCCACGTCTGAAAAGTAACATGAAAGTGGCTTAAACCTGCATTCTTTCTAACAGTCAGCAGGGGGCGACTCCTCTGGTTGCAAAAAGAAGTCTGATTGTGTAAAAGTCCACGAGAACACACCTAGAACCTCTCATTTGATGTGTTATTTCAATAAATATTGTCCTACTGAGTTTATGGTCCCAATGACTGGTTTCAAGTCTCCGTTAAATACATGATGATTTTGTAAAATATCCTAGGGCTGGACCCAAATAGCCGAACAGCCGACTATTCATTTGCTGTGCTGGTACTGGGATAGCAATTTCCGAAACTCTGGAGTAAATACATGACAACAAAACTAAACAAGAATGTTCTGCTCGAGAAACAAAAGCAAATTTGTGCATATTTTGACGGATGAGAACTCATTTAAATAATTCAGAAAACTTTTAATTAAAAAAATAGATGTCTTAATTTTAGTCATTAGCAGGGGTAGTTTCATTTAAATATCTATTCATTTAAAATTATTCCCTGTTCACTCGTAGTGAGATGAGCAAAGTTGAAATGTCAGTTGATGTAAAGTCGCTGAAGTCTTGGTTGAAGTGCAAAAGATCTGATAATTGTTCAACTGTTCATGGCTTTATATGAAATGATAATAATAATGCTGTATAAACTTATTTTGTTTAATTTTGATCATCCTTTACATTAATAATAATAAGATGCTTCAATAAGGCATCTTTAATGTTTCCTTCCCAGATTTTAGTCAAACTATGTTAATTAGCTACCCTCCATTCACAAGTCCATGTCGTTCATTCTGTTTATTGGTCTGACTCATTCACAATTTATCAAATATGCAAACACAACAGAAAGAATCACAGCTTCATGCCTTACCATTTGCACTGTGTAGAGAATGTTCCCATAGCAGTAGATCATGATACCAACAGGCACAAAGAAACACGCCAGGAGGAAGAAGAGGATGAAGGAGGCGTCATTGGGGTCCTTTGACGCCCAGTCCAGAGAGCAGCCCAGCTGGTGGATCTCCAGGGTGTAGCGGTTCCACCCGAGCAGAGGCGCCCCCGTCCAGGCCAGGGAGTACAGCCAGATGTGGGCGATGGCCCGCCAGGCCCAGGGGAAGTCCACCACCTGGGCATGGACCACCCGGATGTAACGCTCATAAGCCAGGGCTGACAGAGTCATGATGGAAACGATGCCTGGCAGCAGAGAGAGAGAGAGAGAGAGAGAGAGAGAGAGAGAGAGAGACAACCATGCTGAGTAATGCAGAGCGCTCGCTGCAGGATCTGGGTCAGCGGCTACTCCGTGTCTCTTTGGACCAAGTTTCATCATGTTCTGTGTAAACAGAGTTCTGAACATCTTGAAGCTGAGCATCACATTCAATCATTTTGTTGCGGACGCTTTGAAAACTCACAGACTCTTGACTCCCACACAACACACACACACACACACACACCTCTGAGACCTGCGTCTGCATTACACAGTCTGCTTTTCCCACACAGGCTGAAGTGGTTTGCTTTTAATGGTGCAGAGTTGTAGCTCTTAGGTGCATCATTTTTTTTTAACACTTTCATATTGGCCTGGGAAGTCAAAGTGCACATCTGTTCGGCCAGAGTCGTGGCACAGGATCTGAAATTGATTCCGCATCAGTTTTGATCGATACACATCACACACGCTCACATAACCTCTGTCTAATTACATCCTCTAGTGCACTTCTCAGCTCCGTCTGTAATTCATTAATCTCTTGGGGGCGCAGGCCACATTATCCAGGGACTTGTTTCAGGCGAAGTTTGAGCCACAGCATCCAGGCTAAGGTTTCAGTAGGAAGAGCTGCCAGGGCTTATCGCTGCAGCCGCTCCAGCACGTGTGTGTGTGTGTGTGTGTGTGTGTGTGTGTGTGCCATTCACACTGTCACCAACCTGCACTGAGTAACACATACGGAACAGAGATGACGCCACATTTGCGTAGAGACACCAGAGGACACATATAGCTGTAAAGCCATGGGATTTATTTTTGAACTATTCAATTTCCATACTGAGCTCAGTCTCAGCAGGGATCAATAGAGTTTCAGTTTGTAGTGTTCGGATTCAGACATGGCACCTGTGTGACCTTCACATGTAGAAATGTCACAGAAAATTTGGAGATTTTTAAAGTGAAATGACAAGAAATGAAGGAAAGAAGAGAGGGAGGGAGGGAGGAGCAGGTGAGTTCAGTGTAAGTGAAATCTACATGATCTGCCAGGTTTGTCCTCCTCGGCTGAGAACGGGCCAAAGCAGCAGGATCCTTTCTGCTCAATGTCACATCAGCGATGACAGAACATCACCTTGTGCGTTCGATTCGACAACATGGTACAAATTCCTAACTTTTTATGCTTTCACACATTTGCATACCAAATCACCAACTACTGCCGACAAAAGCATCCGAGCAGGTTCTTCACATACATGTGGAAGACAATGTCAGCTAAAGGACAGTAAGACCACTGAAGAGGAGTCCGGCGCTCCTCTGTGTTTAGTTTGCTGATAAAGCAGCAAAAAGGCTTGAAGGCTCGCTCTAATGAGCTCATTATCACACATCCATCCTCCTGAGCTATAATTCCTACAGAGGTGGGACCCCGTGTGCTCATTCACACTTCACTGCTGAGCGCACTGGTAATAAATGGACAGTCATGTTCCACTAACAAAGGGGCGCGTTGAAGGTGACAAAGGATTTCTCTGACCTGCAGGATATTTACATCCAACAACAACACAGAGCGCTGGCTGATAAATGCAGAATACAGTGTGGATCCCTTCAGGGGTGTTAGATTGTACAGCAGCTCATCAGACTGGGTCAAGTCAGCTGTTTTTGACCCAGTCTGCATTGAAACACAATTTCTGAGAGAAAGTGGGCAGATAGAAAAAGTGTGTCACCATTTCACTGATGTGTTTAGATGCATCTTCATTCATTTTATATATAATAAGCTAATTTAATTCCTTACACAGTCTCTTTCTTTCTTGCATCACATTAGGCTGCATTTTCTCACACTCTAATCCATTATTTTTTTTGTTTTTGCCTATAATGAGACGCAATTAAGGGCAGCGTGGTTCAACTGTTGAATGCATTTAATTATTTTAGTGAATGTAGGTGTAAGCAGACATAAATGCTTTATTGAATGTTATTTCTCTCACCAAAGAGGCTGTTGCTGAAGCCGTCCCAGACGCATGTCGCCTGGCTCCAGATCCATCCGCCTTTGACGCACGAAGCGAACGTAAAGTTTATCCCGATGAGAGAAACCAGCAAATCACTCAAACTTATGTTGACCAGTAACAAATTGGTGGGCGTCCGGAGCCTCTTGAATTTGCAGTAGAGTATCAAGACGACCACGTTATTGCAAAAGCCGAATACTCCAATAGTCCCGATGGTAAAAGCGAGAAGTTTGTAAGTGCCCACAGCAAAGATGTAATTCTCCGCACTTCTCTCGGCTCTGCTTTCGTTGAGCGGATTCATCGCGCGGACACAAACTTGGTTTCCAGCATTGTGCGGCGCGCGCGTCCAGGGCACGAGAGAGGCTGTGGTGGGCTCCCCGCGCGCCGCTCATTCAAACCAGCAGCCCGTTTGCAGGAAAAGTGGGTCAATGTACCGAAGTCAAGGCGGAGTCGACGGAGGCGCTCTGTTGCCGGAAGCGCTGTCAAAATAAAACACGCGTTTCATTCGACGTGTTTGATGATGATTATATGTCTTTTAAAAAAGACAAAGCAAAACGAAACATCAAGGGCGTTTCAAAACAGCGTTTTATGTAACCCCTTTATATAGCAAAAAAAACCCCAAACATTATTGCATTTACGATACTGACAGGTTATGTTGAATACGCTTTCAAATGCTCCCCTTTTATTTTGAAATCAAAATGTCCTAATAAACTCTGGTCTCTGGTGTGAGTCTCTGTAGGTGAACTGATGGTAAAGGTCTTGAAATACATTTTAAATGAATTAATTAAATTCGAGTCACCATTACTTATACTGCCCATTTAAAGCGACAGGCAAAGTCGTTTCTAGTGACAGTATATTATATAAAAGTCCTTCTATCTGTGCAGTGAATTATGGAGGTTAATCTAACTAATTTAAATATTAAGGTTAAGACCATGCAGTGTTATTAATTATGGAGACTACCCTAACTCATTTTTGTATTGAGGCTAAGACCCAATAATGCCTTTAATTAGGGAGATTAACCTGACTAATTTAGACCTAAAATTATAAATCTACAAAAATATTCATCCCATGAATCCAAGGATTTACTCCATCCCCTACAAGGAAGCTATGTTTTAATTTTAATTTTTAAATAAAATAAAATAAATTGAATTAGCAGGCGGCACAGTAGTGCAGCACTGTCGCCTGTCCCTTGTTTGAAACTTGGCCTTTCTGTGTGTAGTTTGCTCCAGCTTCCTCCCACAGTCGGCTGAGGTTCAGTGGTGATTCTAAATTGTCTGTAGGTGTGAATGTGAGTGTGCCTGGCTGTCTGTCTCTGTGTGTGTCGGCCTTGTGATGGACTAGTGACCTGTCCAGGGCACATCCTGCCTTTGCCCTAAATCAACTGGGATAGGCTCCAGCCCACCCGTGACCCTTCAGAGGATTAAGCAGTGTATAGATAATGGATGGATAAATTCAATTAAATGTTCTTTTTTCACATTTGTGATGTGGTGAGTAACACTTCCCTTTTAACAGGTAAAGACCAGCAGCAGAACAAGACTCAGGGAGGGCGGCCATCTGTCTCGAACAGTTGGGTTGAAGGTAATCAAGAGAGAAAAGGACAGCAGAGAGAAACAGACAACAAGAGAGATAATGAAAACTGGACCAATTAGTGGGACAAGTAGTCTGCAGATCAGACCTGTGCAGCAGCAGAGGCAGAATTACTTAAAAAGAGGTACAAAGAGTACTAAATTGCAAAGTTCCCTCCCTGGAATTAATAAAGGCTTACCTTAAAACACAAACTACAGGAGAGAGAAGACACAAAGTTGATAACATGCAGTCGCAATATAAGTGCATGGAGAAGTCAGCAGGAAGAAACATTTACTGTTTATTTTTACTTTATATGACTTTTATTATTTTTCCCTTTAAAAAAATGTTATTAGCCATCACAGTGTGTTTTTAAACATTAAAAGTCATCTTCTGGTGAAAATCTAGTTGTGTGTTGTTGTTTTTTCGCCCTATTTTCTCGTCTATATGGTGT